ATTCATTTATTGGCGCAAGATAAAATACTAAAAAATGTTATGATAAATTATATTAATAATTTTTTTTTTACATTAATCAATGCGATAATAATCATTTATATAACATACTGATAATATATTATATAAATATTTCTTTCAAATATTCATTAAAAGTGTTTAAATTATAACTGATTTAATAAATAACAGTCATGTGTATATTCAATAAATTTTTATATTTATCTCTCTCTCTTTTTCTCTTTATTTCTTTTTCTTTTTGTTTGTCTTTTGATCTTCCTCTTTGAGAATCAACCGAACGAGAGACTGGCATTTTTCGCACGCTTGAGATTACCAGCCAATTTCTATCCAATTTTCTACGGAGCACCTATAAAAGAATTCCATCGGGACGATGCAAAACATAAACGTAATACACATGCTGCTCATGCATCGGCATCATCAATTTTATATTCAGCACAGTCAGACTACCTTTATTATACTATTTGACGTTTCGAGATACGACTGTTACCTTTTTTTCTAATTCCTTTCTATTTTTATTCCTTTTTCTTACGAATGAAAGAACAATTTTATTGTCCTGTATTTATTTATATACAGGTTATTTCATTTATATTCTATCAAACAATATCAGTATATTCTAGATTTAAAAATAAGAAATAAAATAATATGTTAACGTAAAATTGTAAATGATTTGTTATACAATTATCAGAAGGAAACCAAAATAACGGATGACTGATTTCTTGCTTAAATATGTATAATAATATTCGTAATTACAATGACCGCGAATGCCGAACATCATATCACTTTTATTAATTAAATACCATTATAAAATTACTGTTGAAAATTAAACAAGAAATATAAATCATTTGTAAATTTTATATATATATATATATATATATATATCTAATCGGCCCAATCGTAAAAATCGTCTATATATTCGATTAGGAATTCAGTAGTGCAGTCTGGTTGGTTCTATAACGAGACCGTTTCCGCTTCGTTTTTCTAACTTCCGCAAAATTTTCTTTTCTTTTCGAAGCTATGCTCTTTAAGATCGGCCCACGTGTAATGAGGATTACGTGAGTCGAATCAACCAATCCTCTTCGTTTTCCTTCGATCGTGAAAAAAGTTTAACTATTAATTTAAACTCAGCCAAGCCTAACAACCAAGCAACCAAGCTACCCACACGATATCGACAAAGAAATTTGTTCTCATACCAAATCTACACTATTTCATTCTGTATATACAGGATGTCATAAAAATCACTTCACTTCGAGGATAGAACAACATTAAAACAATCATTAACGTTAAATTATTAATAGGAATAATAAAACAATATTTTATTCTTTTTACGTGAATAGATTAAAAAGTTTTGTAATTTAATATAGAAATTATTTCTTTTCGATATTAAAAAATTCTTCAACCGACTAACATACTTTTTAATATTAACTTTACGTTACTGTATTGTTAATAGGATATGTATGAATTTCTTCAAGTAATTGTAAAAACAAATGAACAAGTTTTTAATTAGGTAAATCGACTTTTGGAACATCCAGTATATATAGAATGAAAGGAAGATAAAGACATAGGTATATAAATGTTTTTTTTTTCCTCTTTCGTACTTTATACCATCTTATTCTTCTCGGTTTATCCCGTGACACTTATTGGAGTACCAAGAAATTAAGTGGATTCCATAGTGGTGACTGGCTCGACACATTTTTCATCCCTTTTTCCTTTCTTCCTAATTTCCGCCCTTTTTCTTTCTTTTTTATTCTCCCTCGTTTTTTTTTTTTCATTGTAAGCAAAAGAAACTTCGTTAATTGCTATAGTAATTCTACTTAGTAATATTTGAAAGAAAATAATACTCGTTCTTATCAAATTCAATTTGATTTTATACGAATATAAATTTGATATTATAATATTACTTTAAATTCTCTTTTTTTTTATTATTGATATCTTCTCATCGCGTATTTATAATAATTCACGGAAATAAGAACTCTTTTCGAATATTAATTTCAACGTAACAAAAAGCTTACGATGCTTAATTTATTAACGAAAATTATATAATATTACCAGTCTGTTATATCGAAAATTATTTTCAGACGATTAAGTACATAAAAAAGGAACAGAGAGAATATGAGAGAGGAAATTTTGAAAAGAAAAATAAAGAAATGAAAACCTATAGATTCCTAGATAGAAAACCTATTAACGAGAAAGGAAACTCGATAAATTGATCTAGTTTCTAAGATACTTATTTTGTTGTATACGCAAGATCTTGAAGTCTTTCCTATTAGATATTTTCAAAGAATATTATGTGTTTCATTCTACACGAAAGTGGGATACAAAAGTTTTTATCGATGTTCACAAGATGTCATTAAAAAAAAAAAAAAAAAACCTGTCTTTTTTTTTATATCTTACATCGATAAAATTTATCAAATAATTTAATCCTATAGCACATTTTTTAATCAGTAAAAAAAAATTGTTAATAATGAAAAAATTTCAGTTTTTTTATACAGTAAATTTTGTTTGGAAAAGAAAAAACAAAATTACGAAAGAAATGAATTTCATGGCATACACAAGCACGAACTATTTCGCATCATTGAGTTAATCTATCGTGTTGCAGCTCGACATTTTTCAATATTTAAAGAAATAACGGACGACAGCGTACACGATTAAAGTTTTCCCGTTGAAAATTCATGCTATTAAGATCAAAGATCGATACAGTTGATACTGTCGTTCACGAGGGAAGAAAAGATTTCCCAATACGAATCCAGTTTTAGTTTTCCTATCTTTGATTCCTTGGGAAATAGTATTTTAAACGTGGCCTCTTCAAGTCAGACCTAGATCGAAAAGTAAGAAAATGTAAAAGTATAAGAGAAAGAGAAACAAAGTACGTGCGTGTGTGTGTATGTGAAAAAGAAAGAATACTCTTGTAAAAGATAGAATTGCAATGCTTGATAATCCATTTACTCGATCGCAAGACTTTCTTTCCACTTGTAGAAATATATTTCTTTCTCATTCTTCCTTTCTTCTTATATCCATCGTCCATCTAATACTTTTCGCAAAGAATAAGACAGAGAAAAGAATGGAAGAAAGAGAGAGAGAGAGAGAGAGAGATCAACTTACAAGCATTCTCAAATAAAAGTATTGGATCGGCCAATAAGTAATGTTGGAATTTTTAATAGAGGTTTGTTTGAAAGTACCTAGAAGAGTAAATAGTCCCTGGATGATTTTAAAAATCAATTTCTCTATTCTCCGAGACTTGGTAAACGAATTTGTTTTTTTTTTCTCTCCCCTGTTCGTTCGTTCCTTCCATCATTTTTATTTCCTTTTCTTTTTAATTAAAAAACTACAAGCTCTCCGTGAAGTTTCTTACGATCCGAACAAAAATTACATCATCGAAAAGTCTCTCGAAAAAAAGAGTAATTGATTTTTAAAATCACCCGAAGAGTTTAAGCGCAAGCCTGTATTAAAAAAAATTCCGACATTACTTATTGGCCGACCCGATAAGAAAGTAGAAGAAGAAAAAGAAAAAGAGTAAGAAGAAGAAAAAGGAAGAAAAAGAAAAAGCGTGGGAATGAAATTAAGTAATAAGCTGGAAAATCTTGGCGAGAGGGAAGGTGATGTAAATTTACATTTGGCGAAAAGTTCATTACGTTTCTTCACTTCGTTTAACAACGATGTATGGTATATTAGTTTTGAGAAAAAAAAAAAGAAACTAAAAAAGAAAAAAAGTAATCGTTTTTTGATATCATCCAGAAATTGTAGAACCAGGCAGTGTAAAAAAATTCCAACCACAGTATGAAAGTATTATAAAATAAAGTAATATGCTAATGGTAACCTAGTGGGTGATGTAATTTTAGATTTGTAAAAAGTTTATTGCGTTTCTACGTTTAATAACACGGGAAATGTTAATCTCGGGAAAAGAATAATTGATTATGAAAATCATCTGATAAATTTTTGACTCGGGCTGCGTTACAAATACCGACGTTGTTTATTAGCCAATTCAATTTTGAAAAAAAAACAAACTGTAAACCAATAAAATAAAGAAAAATAAACTATATAAACGGGAGAAAAGTTATGGAATAGTGATTTTACATTTGCGAAAATTAAACCACATTTTTACGTATAATCATACGCTAAATGTTAATCCTCGAGAAAGAGTAATTGATCTTCCAAATCACGTAATAAATTTTCGACTCTGATTGCATTAAAAATTCCGACGTTGTTTATTGGCTGCATATTCGTACGGTCATGAAATAATCTTCACTTTTCATACTGTGCACGCACACGTGAACATACTTTATCATACTGCCTGATTATAACAACTTAATTTTTCAAACTTTCACATTGTAAGGACGGAAAGAAGTAATATAGGAAAGACACGAATTCAATTATTAATAATTAAAGATTTCTTTTATTATTCTATTATATAATGAATATCAGCATGGTGCTTGGTTGCTGACATTATATTTATTTCTACAGTGAGCGATTAAATGATCACTGATTAATGATCAAAATGAGATTTAAGCCAATTGGATAATGAACAACATATTTTCTTTTATTTGAAAATGAATAATGTATATTGTATGCATTTTAACCGCTTCTTTTTTACAAATTACCGCATCATTATAAATTATAGAACTCGGTTAGGTTTAGTGTTAAAAATTTATCTGTTCTTCCTTCAGTATTTTGTATACTATACTAGTTTGTTCCTCCGATATTCTTTCAATAATTCTCAGAATTCTTTCGCAGAGCGATAGATCTTGTGCACTTAAATTTAGCAAGGACCAGTTCTCTCTTAAATAAACATGACTAAGGGTTTTATTATACCCCATCAAAACTTAACAATGGATTCGGCTACCCTCGTGCCCAAAAAAAGCTGTGGGAGTGGCGGTCTCTATATCTCTGCTGTGCTTTTAGTTGTCGTATCTAAGATAAATGTTTGAGATATGATCAAATTCATTGGAATATTAAACAATTTACATTTAACCTGTGAATCTTGTCGCAACATTGACCAATTCAATATGAGAACAAAACGGGAAATCAATAAAATAGAAAAATAATTGAATAAACATGAAGAGTAGAGTAATTCGACATTTGCGTAAAGTTCATTACATTTCTAAGTATAATAAGGAGTTAAGGGAGAAAGGGGTGGGAGTGTTAATCATTGAACTTTGGAAAAAATCTCGAAGATTGGATAGGCATTGTTGTGTACGTTTAAAACGAGAAATTTCATTAACACGCTTCCACTTTTAACGCCTTAATTTGAGTTCAACATAAGTTGTGTTCGAAGATACAATAGAGAGAAGACTTGTAAGAACTATAACGAGCTACTTCGAGGCGTTATCTAGTACAGAAATATCTCGGGAGAAAAGAAATTTTGTTTTCGAAGAAAACGTTTCCCTTCGATTAAAGAGAGAGAGAGAGAGAGAGAGAGAGAGAGAGAGAGAGAGAGAGAAATAGAAAAAAAGAGGAAACAGACTAGCACAATTTTTCTCTCTCTCTCTCTTTCTCGAATGAACTTTTTCAAAAGTACGACGCTTATACTTTAATCTCAACCTCGGGAGATAAAATATAAAAGAAAAAAAAAAAAATGAAAGAAAGAAAGAAAGAAAGAAAGAAGAGATTGCATTACTAGCTCTGGAATTATAATTATACGCGCATTGCTAGATTTACGACGACTAATTAATTCGGAAATCTAGTGCCACGTGGGATTCCATCCCGGTGCGAATGGCATTAAATTACGAAATCAAAACGTCCGAGTAAGAGAACTTTTTAACGGAATTTTTTAATGAGGAAAGAGTTGAATTTTTCTAGCAATCCTTAGAATGAGAATTTTTCTTTTTTTTTTTTTTTCTCCTTGCAAAAATGACGTTTAAAATATATCGTTAAGATTGTAGTCATTTGTCAACTCTAATCGTGACAATTTATAATTTAGTTTCTTGTTATTTTTATATTATTTTTCTTTTACAGCACCGACACTCTAATAATACACGAGTGCAACTACAAGATGTAAGCTTTCACACCAGTGGGAGGTACAAGTGCGAAGTTGTCGCAGAGGCACCTAACTTTTATTCGGTTATTGCTGAAGCCAATATGGAGGTCATAGGTGAGCCCCTTTCTTCTATATAAATGTTACTATTTTAATAATTAATAATGTACTTTGATCGTAAACTCGAATTCTCTGATAATTCGACTACAGCTGGTAACATTATAAAGAACTATAATCGCCATTAAGCACCTTGACGCAACCTTTCGATGTTGGCCATAAACCGAGCTCCTTTATCTATTTTAATCTTACCTTTATCGTAACCTTATATCATTAGTTCTCATCAACAATATATCTTTTAATTGGCAAATTAATCTTCTTGCAAGACAATTTTTTTGTTTTTTATTTTTGCGAATATTTCATTATCAAGTAAAAAAAAGATGCGTAAAATATCAAAATATATATTTAATTATACTAATAAGCGGACAAAAATTTGTATACCGATATGAAATTTTTCTACGTAGAATATATTATATATCTCAAAATAAATTATATTATATTATCGAGACATACAACATTTTTTTAATTAATGTCGCTGATAATTTATCTTAAATGTGTTAAGTAATTAAACGTTTTACTATAAAATAGAAAGATTTTTTTCAAAGTATATTTAATTATGTTAATAAGCTTTTCAAATTTTTGTTGGTAACGCTAGATTCGTAACCACACTTTATATGAGAGAAAAATATCTTAAAATTAATAATTAAATTACAATTTTAAGGGAATTTGTAATCAGTGTTTCGAGTGGTTAATCCCACACGCGCTTAAAAGTAAAATATTTTATTAATCATAACGTATAGAGAGAAAATATATAAAATCTTGTTGAAAAAATATAATAAATTATGTTAATAAATATAAAGAAAATAATGAGAAAATATCGGGAGAACAAATTTCTATACACTCTCATAGTAAAAGTGACTTTAAATCGTGTTCACAATAGATACGATTAACAACACGCGATTCAGTTTAACCACGAAACCACGTTGCAACAGTTACAATGTAATATATTGCACCTGACGTATTCGCGACCTACATATGCACATACGTAGCGTGATATTCTGTGATATCGTACAATTACATCAGTCTCTTTTTCCAGGTTATAAACTTTTTTCCACCTTACGTATTTTTTCAAGAATAGGCGAGAATTATTATCAAATTTATCCTCAAACTAGCATGACGTCGTTCTAACACTTACGGTAGTTGACATACGATTTTGGCACGCGACTATGCAATTGAACGAACGAATATGGCCCCTGTATTAATAGTTCTATTAAAAAAAAAAAATAATAAAAGAATAAAAAACAAAATCAAATGATCATATTTTCTAACTTGCGTGTGTAACGAGTAAAGTATAAACTTTGTTTAAAATATAATTCTACGATATATATATATATATATCCTAGCGAGATATTATATAATGAACGAGCCACGTTTGTTTTTAAACTCTCGCGAGTCCAGTTTTTTCCCTACCTATTTCTTTTTTTATCTTGTCAATTAATTAAACGAAAAGATTAAATTGGATTACGGCAGTTAATATCGTAAGTCAACATTTTTCTTTTTTTTTTTTTTTTTTAATTTCTTCCAAATTCGGACCTACTATATATTCCATCTTTTCAAACGAAAATAAATAACTCGAATAATGAACAAACAAAAAAAAGAGAAAGGAAAAAATAGTTAAAAGTATATCAATCTTGTGGGGGTAGAAAAAAAAAAAAAAAAAAAAAAAAAAACAAAAAAAAAAATTAAATCGAAATAAAACGCGGAGGAAAAAATAAGCCCCGTAAATGTATAGTGGTTATATCAAATACAGAGATGCGGTGGTAGGGTGGTAGCTGTATAGATGGTATATGTATGATGCAAACGTGAAAAGAGAAAAAAAAAGAAAAAAGAAAAAAGAAAAAAAAAAGGGAGAAAGATAGAAGCATATTTTAAAAGCAGAAAAGCCTGGCGAAGGGCAAAGGTACGAATTTTCCTCTCGAGGTGCATATTCGGCAGAGGGGGAGGGGGAGGGGGAGGAGGAGGAGGAGGTTGGGGGAATAAAAAAAAAACTTCTTCTTTTTTTCGTCTTTCTTTTTTCTTCCCTTTTTTTTTTATCTTTCTCTCTCTCTCTCTCTCTCTCTCTCTCTCTCTCTCTTCTCGTACCTCTTCTTCTCCACTAATCCTGTCTCTCCTAAACTATCTCTCGTTTTCACGAGGTAGGTTTTTCCGGTCGCATTTCTTGAGCCGTAGCACGATCGATAGGCCACGTACCCACAGTTACCACGTCTTTACCAGCATCGTGGAAAATTTCGTGCGCAGGAAATTACCTGCGGGTATGGTTGGCCCCTCTGTCCTCGTAGTTTTCGTTCACGATGGCTATACGCTTCACTGTGTCACACAAATACACATAGAAACACACGCTCACGTACATACACACAGGCACATAACACGTCAGCAAGCTATTTTTTCCATCTTTTTTTACCCTTTCAACGACCTACTTTCGATGATCTGTGTTACACATTGCCCTATTTCCCAATATTACTTTCCTCGTCCTAGTACTACTACTACTACTACTACTACTACTGTTCTTCGATTAACTCTATAAATTTCAATCGGACTTACTACTCTTACTTTGAAATTATTTAAGTAATATTTACACGTACCATTTAATGTGCATTTTAAATGATAAAACTTGAGGGACAATTCGGGAATAATCGGTATTTATACACGAATGTGTATTATATAATTGAAATAAATATTTGTAGAAGAAATTTGTGTGATAAATTTATTTTTTGGAGTTATTCTAAATATTCGATTTTTTATAAGAAGAAAATCAAAACGCATTTTTATATTTAAGTTTATCAATTTAAACATATATATATCAAAAGTTTATATTAATAAATCTACACGCGAACTTTTGGATTAATCAATAGATATTTAAATATTCGAGACTAATAACAATATTAAAAAAAACAAAAAAAAAGAAATCGATTCTAGATCGACATGAATCGAATGATTAAATGAATATGAATCGAAAATGAATAAAAGAAGTGTGCAAATTTAAAAGACTGGAAAAACTATTATTAAACTCTCATCTAATTGCTAACATCCTGCGAATTGCTTTTTTGCCTTCCGGGACTCAATCTTTTATCCTGATCCACCCACGCGCACACGTACATACGTACGCACACATAAACGATACTAAATTGCACTTTTTTTTAATGATAAAACACGACGATATACTTTGAAGGAAAAATAATACTATCCGTATAACTTTGCTAACCATCGATGTTATCCTGCTTATATTTTTAAGTAATCATTAATCGATATTATTAATTCTACAAAAATTTGTTTAATCACAATTTGTTAAATGTAAATTGTATACTTTGAAACAGATCTTGTCTGAGTTTTCAAAATATTTTAAAAAATATATTTCAAGTATGAATTCACGTTTATTTAAAGTAATGGAAAGGTTTCATTAGAATACAACCTTTTATTGTCCTTATCAAAACTACTGTAATTATTATTTCTTACATCTGAAAATTTATTAATGAAAAATTCTTGAAAATAATCTTCAAATTGATATACCATTTTGAACTAATTGTTTGAAATTTAAGCGAAAGTTTATCAAACAAACATAAAATCATATAAATTGAATGACTATTATTAACGCAATAACAATTTAGCGTGTATAAGATGTGAATTTCTTTCTCTGGATGAAAAATTCAAGTTTACGACTCGCGTCTTCCGTTTAAAAAATAAAAAATATTGACTCGCGTCTTTCAACTTGAATAATTCCAAAATGAAAGACGTGAATTTATAGTTACAGTCAACGATGCTTTAATTGATCTCATCCGAGTCTTAAAATATATATTATATTATAAATATATCAAATCAAATTTTACA